ATAGTAAAATAAACAGGCATTTATATGGTTCATTTTTTCTACTTAACCCAAGTTGTTTCTGTACTTCACCCGTTTTGTAATTAGTTTTGTTTTCTAGAAGCTGGGTCAGGCCATTTCCCTAGCGACATTTAAGTGTATGTCATAAAGTTTCTCTTTAAATTATGAAACCCTTCAGAAGAAATGCTGAATTACTAAGATAAATACCTAAAAATTCTGCAGCAAGTAAGACAAACCTTACTAGTTACTTTAGCAACTAGAAATAACATTATAATTGACAGGAACTACATTAGAACAAACTATGTGTTTTACATCATAGTATTTTTTAAATTTTACTTTTTAAAATAGCCTGTGATTTGGATATGTTTTTTTTTTTCTTGAAGCTTTCAGTATTGCATCTCTAAAATAATATCTTGGAAGTGGTGTGCTCTTGGGATTCAAGGTAGATAAGGAGAGTCAAATTGCATTTAAAAAAAAAATTCTTTTCTTTTTTCTTTTTTTTTTTTTTTTTTTGAGACGGAGTTTTGCTCTTGTTACCCAGGCTGGAGTGCAATGGCGCGATCTCGGCTCACCGCAACCTCCGCCTCCTGGGTTCAGGCAATTCTCCTGCCTCAGCCTCCTGACTAGCTGGAACTACAGGCACGTGCCACCATGCCCAGCTAATTTTTTTTTTGTATTTTTAGTAGAGACGGGGTTTCACCATGTTGACCAGGATGGTCTCGATCTCTTGACCTCGTGATCCACCCGCCTCGGCCTCCCAAAGTGCTGGGATTACAGGCGTGAGCCACCGCGCCCAGCCTATTTTTTCTTAAAAAAATTTTTTTTTTTTTTTTCTAAAATAGAGACAGAGTTTTACTACTAGGTTGCGCAGGCTGGTTTTGAACTCTTGGACTCAAGCTACCTTCTGCCTCAGACTCCTAAAGTGCTAACATTACAGGCATGAGCTACCACGCCCAACCACTTGTTGCATTCTTTAAATTCATTTAGTCTGCTTTAAAAAGCTCAGGTGTCTCAGTTTATTTATTCCCTCAAGAAAAATTACTAAACTAAAAGAGAGTTTGAAAGAAAAAGATTTATCCATAATTCAAGCATAACTCATTCTTCCCTTGCTGTCTCTGTCTATCATTCCACCCATGTTAAAGTGTTTTCCCTTCCTTTCCAAATATTGCAGATTGGACACATAATGCTTAAAAATATATTGTAGTAAAACAATTTATTCAGACATTCTGGCCAGGCGCAGTGGCTCACGCCTATAATCCCAGCACTTTGGAAGGCCGAGGCGGGTGGATCACGAGGTCAAGAGATCAAGACCATCCTGGTCAACATGGTGAAACCCCGTCTCTACTAAATACAAAAAAAATTTAGCTGGGCATGGTGGCGTGTGCCTGTCATCCCAGCTGCTCAGGAGGCTGAGGCAGGAGAATTGCCTGAACCCAGGAGGCAGAGGTTGCGGTGAGCTGAGATCACACCATTGCACTCCAGCCTGGGTAACAAGAGCGAAACTCCATCTCAAAAAAAAAAAAAAAGACATTCTTAGACACCAGGCACAGTGGCTCACACCTGTAAACCCAGCACTTTGGGAGGCCAAGGCGAAAGGATCACTTGAGGCCAGGAGTTCAAGACTAGCCTGGCCAACATGAGGAAACTCCATCTCTACTAAAAATACAAAAATTAGCCGGGTGTGGTGGTACATGCCTGTAATCCTAGCTACTGGGAAGACTGAGACATGAGAATCACTTGAACCCGGGAGGTGGAAGTTGCAGTGAGCTGAGATCGCGCCACTGCGTTACAGCCTGGGTGATGGAGTAAGACTGTCTCAAAAACAAAAAGAAAAGAGAGAGAGAGAAAGATTCTTAGAGCATAGTATAATGGACTTATTTAGTGATAGAATTTACAGTGTTATCAATTGATGATTTACTAGTTTTGGACTATTTTACTTCTTATGGCCGAGTTTTTTAGTATTTTTAGTTTCTTTCATGTACTTTAGTTGTAAAATAATTGGTCATTCCCTAATTGGCACACTTTAAGTTAGTCCATATATCATTTATTAATAAAATAATTTCATAGAAATTATTATGGTTGGCTAGGCGTGGTGACTCATGCCTGCAATCCCAGCACTTTGGGAGGCAGGCCAAGGAAGGTGGATTGCCTGGGCTCAAGAGCTCGAGACCAGCCTGGGCAACATGGTGAAACCCTGTGTCTACCAAAAAATACCAAAACAATTAACCAGTTGTGGTGGCACACATCTGTGGTTCCAGCTACTCAGGAGGTCGAGGCGGGAGAATAAACCTGAGCCTGGGAGGTAGTGGTTGCAGTGAGCCGAGGTCACATCACTGAACTTCCAGCCTGGGTGACAGAGGGAGACCTGCTGTTTCTCTCACACACACATACACCAGGTAGAGAAAGCAAGAAAAAGAGAGAGTGGAAGAAAGAAAGAACTTAAAAAGAGAACACACTCAGGAAGGAAAGAAGGATGGGAAGAGAAGGGAAGGAAAAAAGAAAGGAAAGGAATTTAAATAGACAAATTATCCAAATGTACTTTTGAGCACATTGTAAAATATTTGACATTTTTAAGAGGTGCATGCTTTTATATGAATCTAAAATTGTGTTATAAATATGCCGTTTAAAGTTCTACTTACGTTTCAGTTTTTTGTTTTTTTTTTTTTTAACTGAGAAGTGGTCATTCTGTAAAAGCGGTAATTCTCAGCGTCCTCTCTACCAGCAGCATTACTATCACCTGGAACCTTGTTAGAGGTGCGCATTCTTAAGCCTCACTCTAGACCTTCTGAATCAGAAAATCTGTGTTTTATTTTAGCAAGCCCTCCAGGGGTTGTGATGCATGCTCAAGTTTGAGAACCACCGCTCTAAGGCTTTGTATGTGGTAATTTCACAGGTTTCACATCACCTGACTTTAAACAACATACTTCTGCTTAGTTTGTCTTTTAAACGTTATTAAAGGCCAGGCGAGGCAGCTCACGCCTGTAATCCCAACACTTCGGGAGACTGAGGTGGGTGGATCACCTGAGGTCAGGAGTTTGAGACCAGCCTGGCCAATATCCATCTCCACAAAAATACAGAAATTAGCCAGGCATGGTGGTGGGCACCTGTAATCCCAGTTCCTTGGGAGGCTGAGGCAGGAGAATTGCTTGAACTCAGGAGGCAGAAGTGGCAGGGAGACGAGATTGTGCCATTGCACTACAGCCTGGGTGACAGACCAAAACTCCATCTTAAAAAAAAAAAAGTTGCCAGGCACGGTGGCTCAAGCCTGTAATCCCAGCACTTTGGGAGGCCAAGGCGGGTGGATCACGAGGTCGAGAGATCGAGACCATCCTGGTCAACATGGTGAAACCCCGTCTCTACTAAAAATACAAAAAATTAGCTGGGCATGGTGGCACATGCCTGTAATCCCAGCTACTCAGGAGGCTGAGGCAGGAGAATTGCTTGAACCCAGGAGGCGGAGGTTGCGGTGAGCCGAGATCGCACCATTGCACTCCAGCCTGGGTAACAAGAGTGAAACTCTGTCTCAAAAAAAAAAAAAAAAAAAGTTATTAAAACACTTGGTAAGGCACAGTGGCTTGCCCTGTAATCGTAGAACTTTGGAAGGCTGAGGCAGGAGGAACACTTGAGCCCAGGAGTTCCAGACCAGCCAGGGCAACAATAGCAAGCCTTCACCTTCAATTAGAATTTTTAAAGAAATTAGCTGGACACGGTGGCACACATCTGTAGTCCCAGCTACTAATGAGGCTGAGGCAGGAGGGTCGAGGCTACAGTGAACTGTGATCATGCTGCTGCACTCTACCTGGATGACAGAGCAAGAACCTGTCTCAAAAACAAAACAAAAACAAAAACAAACTCTTAAGCCAATCTTAAGTGGTTTACACCTGTAATCCCAGCTACCTGGGAGGATAAGGTGAGATAATCAGGTTGAGGCCAGGAGTTCAAGAGCAGCCTGAGCATCAATAGCAAGACTCATCTCTAAAAAATAAAATGATCCTTTAATTTTTTTCACTTACTGAGATTTTAATGCATATTACTTTATTCTTTATACTCTTGTATTTGGGAAAATGTTGGTTCCATGTTGGATGTTATTACTTCAGTGATTTTTGCAGTATTTGCTTGGTAGAGTAATTAAGCCTCTCCTCTTTATGACACTTCTGTTTTTAAGCTAGCACATTCCTAATTTTAATTTTAGTTTTAGTGAAACTGTCAAATATTTTAAAATTAAAATCATTTTTTCTTTTTTTAATCCTACTGCATTCTTAATTTATATAAGCAAAAATCATTGTTTTTTAATGTGTGGGTTACTTGTTTTGATTATCTATAGTACAAAGCCATTTTAAAATTGGCTTGGCCATCAGTATATGTGTGACAACTATGAACTTTTTTTTTTTTTTTTGAGGCGGGGTTTCATTCTGTCACCCAGGCTGGAGTGCAGTGGTGTGATATGAACTCATTTTTAACACATTAAAAGAATGAATAATTTGAAACTGACCTAGTAACTATTCTTCTAATGTCCAATATACTTAAAGGGGAGTGTTGTCTGTTTGTTTTGTTTATTACTGTGTCTTCAAGAACTTGAAAGTTATGTCTACAGATTATACTCTCTGGTACTATTTTGAATAAAATATATCTTAGCTAAGAGTACCTGTGAACTGAGTGACATAAAATATGTCATCAGGTCAGTCTTCTTATTGACAGCTCTTTAATATGAGTAAGAATTGGGTTATATAAACTAGTTTTGAATACTGAAATGAATCTAGTTTTTTGTTGATCTACTCATTGATAGATATACCTCTTTTCTAAAATGTACCAAACTTGTACCACGTATATCTCTATGTAGACTCTGGTTTTGATCGGAATAGCCTATTTATTTATTAGTATTAGGTATCCCTAAATAATATTATTAAACTATCCACCACTTTTAACTTGGCTGGTTTTGTGCTATTACTAAAATACAGTTTTACGTGAATTCATTTTACATTTGATTATTCTTTGAATTTCAGGATGGTGAGGAAGAAGAAAATGAGAAAGGTATGTTTGATGCTAAATAGAGTTTTAAAATGCTAACATTTAAAAAATAGCAAATTATGTGAAAATAAAGCATTCCTTTTTTGAAATCTTATTTTTGAAATTAGTTTATTTTCAGATTTATCTATTTAGTGAATTAAGTTAGCATCTTGATTTTATTTTCCAATTGGTTTTAATTTTCTTTAGAAACTAAAGATATATTCCAACTTAATAGTACATATCAGTTACTGTAGTGAACAACGCTGTTTTTTATTTAACCAAATTTTAATTTTATTTTTAAAATTACTTCTGGTATACGGTAAGTTGATTAAATTCTTAAGACTGACGCTGCAGTAACTCATATGTGCTTATTGGAGTCTTAGTGCATAACTCACAGTGAATTTTACAACTAGTCCTAAAAATGATGAATGATCAGGAGACTGACTTTGTGTTTGCTGCTTAGAGAAACTCATACAGTCGTCTGACAATTTTAGTAGTTTAGACGAGCTATCTCATTCAATACAATTACAGGGGCAACAGTAGCAATATATGTGGTCAGTAGGAGGTTATGGAAGAGTCCTTGCACAGAAGTCAAAGGATCCTACATTGGACTAGAAAGGACATGAAGCAGGGTTAACCAAGGCAAATAAAAAGCCAAGAAGCAATGATGAAGTAAAGCTACTGACTGAAAATCTCACATGCCCGGAGCCTTTCTATTTTGGGGGAATGCAAGACATCTTTGAAAACAGTAATTGCAGATTGACTGGACAGGATGAAGACTGGAAATAACCAATTTCCTGAACGTTACGGAGCAGGAGCATCTTCGGAGCCTTCTGTACCGGTTTTCCATACGACTCTGGACTACTCAAGTGTTGAAGAGTGGAAAAGATGGAGCCCTGAAATACTTTGAAGACTGACTGATATCCTCAGACTGTGACCTTTCGAGAAGTCACCATGGGAGTTCTGCAGGTCACTAGGGTTCAATCCCAGGATAATTTGAACATTGAACAACAATCTGCACTTTTGTCACTGTCCCATGGAGGAACAAAATCTTCCATATGCCATTAACTTATAACCAGAAATGAAGAGCTGGTACCTTCAGGATGGAACCATTTTCTCACTATTGTTGTTTGGTGTTTGTATGTAGAAATCATTTTTTCCATGAAGAATAAGTGATCCTGGGTAAAGGATTGTTTATATTAGTTAATACCCTTGTGTTTTTTTTCCCCTAACCTTCCATCAGTGCTAATAACTGGCTTTATATTTTCTAGGTCCTATTCTAGCTTATGAATATGAAATTGTTTAAACTTCTTGTTTTGCCATATTTATTCCTGTTAAATCCTCTTAGATATAGCAGGTTCTGGTGATGGTACACAAGAAGTATCTAAACCTCTTCCTTCAGAAGGGAGCCTAGCTGAGGCTGATCACACAGCTCATGAAGAGATGGAAGCTCATACGACTGTGAAAGAAGCTGAGGATGACAACATCTCGGTCACAATCCAGGCTGAAGATGCCATCACTCTGGATTTTGATGGTGATGACCTCCTAGAAACAGGTAAAAATGTGAAAATTACAGATTCTGAAGCAAGTAAGCCAAAAGATGGGCAGGACGCCATTGCACAGAGCCCGGAGAAGGAAAGCAAGGATTATGAGATGAATGCGAACCATAAAGATGGTAAGAAGGAAGACTGCGTGAAGGGTGACCCTGTCGAGAAGGAAGCCAGAGAAAGTTCTAAGAAAGCAGAATCTGGAGACAAAGAAAAGGATACTTTGAAGAAAGGGCCCTCGTCTACTGGGGCCTCTGGTCAAGCAAAGAGGTTTGTTTTTCTATGTCAGTTCTTTACGATACTGAATTCCAGCATTCAATAAGATCACTCTACATTAAGGGGGTGGCTTCAAGAACATGTACAGTAATTAGTGTCTTATGATCCTGCCTATAATATTTTTGACCGTCATAAGTTACTTTAAAAAATTTTCAAGATCTTCATAATAATGCAGTGTGTTCTACTGATTGCATTGTCGAATGTCAGCATATATTTGTTTTTTTTTGTTTTTTGTTTTTTGTTTTTCAAATTGACAATTTTTTTGTGTTTTATTTTTTAAAATCCTTGTGATGATGGTTAATGAACAACTATCAGTTCTAAGAACACAAAATGAAGTCAAGTCCCAGTCCTGAAATCTGGAGAAGATGGCCATATTTCCACTGAATAGAATTGTCAGAAAATCTAGATCTTCAGGCATCTTGGGGAAAATCAGTGCAAGAATCCTCAGGGAGTCATTTGTTCAAATAATCTAATCTAGGCCTTTGGAATTGTTAATTTGTATGAATAGCACTAGTTCAAAATATAGTGAATATCAAGCTGTTCGATTTTGGGTTTTGTTTTTGTTTTCAATTTTCTTCTGGTGATTTGCCTCTTTAGCTCTTCAAAGGAATCTAAAGACAGCAAGACATCATCTAAAGATGACAAAGGTAAAGGATTTTTTTCCCCTATTTGTTTCAGTGTTGACTTTGCATATTTTCATTAAAAAGTAGTAGTTGTATAGTGTTTTGACATTTAGTCCTTAAAATTTTATTGACAAACTAGAAACTTGAGATGGTCATTATATAAACTATGGAATTACATAGATTACAGAAAAATGTGATGGATGCATTACTGTTTACTTTGCAAACTGGTATTGGGTATGTTAAAAACCGATTGGCTAAGGGTCTGTGTTGAATATTGATAGATATTTTCTTACATTATAATTTCAGAAGTATTTTATCTTTTGTTATTCATTTATAACTACTATATTTCATCACAACCTTTTCCTTGTTCTGTCTTTAAATAATACTTACATTTGTGAAGTCTAGTGTTTTCTTTCTTTCTTTCTTTTTTTTTTTTAATTCTTCTAAGTTTCAAGATGCAATATTTAGTTGGTTTCTGGTATTGAGAAATCTTTGGTTACCTCATGCCCATGAGCTATAGTTTCATCTTGTACATGTGCTGTGTTTACTTGAAAAATACTTTCTACAAAAGCATTTTAAGGGAAAATAAAACATTCAGAGACTGCAAAGCTTTAAAATACCTTCTAAGTGTGTAAAGAATAATTATATGCATCCTCTATAGTTTATTTTAAATAGTTAGAAACTATAAGGATGTGATTTATGAATTGGCTGGTCTTGCTTAAAAAATAGCTTTTTTTCCTATTAGTAAAAAAAAAAAGTTTCTGTGTAATGAGTAAAGTATCTGGGCCCAGATGTTACTGGTAACAAAAATGATACACAAACATGAAGTTAACATTTCATAAGATCCTTGATGAATGCGTTTCTTAAGAAAAGTATCAACCATTAATATTTAAAATATTTGAGCCAGGTATGTGTTGTCTTCTCTCCCTCTAAGGCTACACTGACTGTAGTTTGACAACTGTTAACACATGTAATTTTTTAAAACATCTAAAATTTTTACTCTTTCATAATGTGAAGTATAGAAATTATTCCTTTTAATTGCTTGTATACTATTTAAAGTTAGTAAAAATTGTTTTCCAAATAAAGTCAAGTGAATGAAAATTTCCCGTTTATTACAGCACATTTAAAGAAAAGGGTGACTGGCTAGGCCTGTATCCTAAGATATGGCCTCTATACATATGAAGCCATAATTTGTGTGTGACATAGTACAGAAATAGTAATTTACCTATTCTAAAGGATTTTGAGATCTCTGATCTTAATCTTGTAGTTGTTTTATTTTATAAGATTGTTTCTTATTGAATCTAGAGTTATCCAGCTGCATGTAATTCCCATTTTGTTTTACCTATTCTCTAATAGGGAATGAAGATGTACCAGTTGGTTAGTTTTTGTTATTAACCATATAAGTTATTGAAAAATGTATACTTTGCTCTGACTTTTTTCTTCTTCCTCTTCAATTTCTCATGATCTAAAGCCCACAGCAGATGTGGCAATTAAGCAGTCTGATCATTCCTAAATGACTGATTCCTGGTTGCCTCTATTCAATACAGTGGTAGAGTATAAATTATTAAAACTGAGCAGCAAAAATTCGAGACATATATTTGATTTTTTACCCTCTTAAACTTAGAACTCATACAATAGGAAATGTACATATATTCAGATTTTTTTCATGACTGCTTATGTTATCTGTTGTTTGATTTCATTAATAGTAAACTCTCAGGATTTTGATACACTAATGCCATACTATCAGAACTATAGTTTTGAAAGAACATGGCCCTTACAATTTTGTATAAAAGTTCTGATTGTGGTATTTAAAAATCTGATATTAAATCTATTCTAGGAAGTACAAGTAGTACTAGTGGTAGCAGTGGAAGCTCAACTAAAAATATCTGGGTTAGTGGACTTTCATCCAATACCAAAGCTGCTGATTTGAAGAACCTCTTTGGCAAATATGGAAAGGTACATACTTTTACCTTTTTATCCGTCTTTCTAGTATCTGCATTTGAAATGAGAATTGTATTCTAAATAGTATTACATAAATATCTTCTAATTTATTCTATCTCTTAGGACTGTTAATAGACATAATTACTGAGTTCTGTGGGAATGGTAGATGAGAGTTAGGGAATAAATAGTGTGTCATCATTTAATCTCTCTCTCTCCCTGAACCTTCGGGATCTTTATATTCCAAACCTTAAACCTACTTAAGCCAAGAACCAAGTGTATTCGTCGTGATACTTTTTAGCAAGTAGCATGGGATCTAACATATTGCTGAGCCTGATTTGGACATCTTGAAAATATATTGATATTTAGACTATTATTAGGCAATAGGATATATAATTCCTTGGGGGTTAGGGGAAGCCAGATATGATCTTCGTTATAGACTTCCAGTCCAGGCCAGATGGGCGGATCACGAGGTCAGGAGTTCAAGACCAGCCTTTCCAACATGTTGAAACCCCATCTCTACTAAAAATACAAAAATTAGCTGGGCGTAGTGGCGCAGGCCTGTAATCTCACCTACTCTGGAGGCTGAGGCACGAGAATCACTTGAACCCAGGAGGTGGGGGTTGCAGTGAGCCAAGATCGTGCCACTGCACTCCAGCCTGGCGACACATGAGACACCATCGCAAAAAAAAAAAAGAAAAAGATTTAATGGAAAACTGGCTATAGATGGATAGATACTTTTAAACTATATATAAACATATATTAAATTTTATATATTAAAACTTAATAAAACATATTAACTATATATATGAACTTTTTTTTTTTCCTTTTGAGATGCAGTGTCACTGTGCCACCCAGGCTGGAATGTGGCAGTGCAATCTAGGCTCACTGCGGCCCCTGCCTCCCATGTTCAAGTGATCGTCATGCCTTAGCCTCCCTAGTAGCTGGGATTAAAGGCATAAGCAACCATACCTGGCTAATTTTTGTATTTTTAGTAGAGACGAGTTTTCACTATGTTGGCCAGGCTGGTTTCAAACTCCTGGCTTCAGGTAATCCACCCATGTCAGCCTCCCAAAGTGCTGGGATTCTAGGTGTGAGCCACCGTGCCAAACCTACACACACACATATATATATAAACTTAATCAGAAGTTGTAAGTGCTGTGAAGGAAAAGTATACAGGTGTTACAAAGGGGAGGCTTTACTGTGATTAGTTTATCAGGAAAAGTTTCTCTGGCAGTTAAGGGGAGACCTAAAGGAAGAGGAGGAGTAGTCAAAGAATACTCAGTTAATAACGAATGCTTTGAATTGTGAGCTGCATCCCTGAGGGCACTCAATACTGTCGACTTACATTGTACTTTTTCATATACATCGTAGTTAATGTACTCCATAGTTAATGTAGTCCAGCTCTGTAAGGTCAGGGACCTTATTTACTGTACTTCATGTGCACGTGATAGGCTTTCAAATATTGTAATTACTGAATTAATAACCATTGTTGGTCCAAAACCTGTTCTTATGATTTTAGGAGGGTTTTTTTTCTGGCTTTAATTAGTGAGTTGCCTGAGAGTAAAGGAAATTCTTGTAGGTGTCACATATAGAACAATGAGAATTGTAGTCCCATGATAGGCTGTGTTACATATTTTTGTTCTATTTTTAATAATGTATTGTTAGAAATGTGAAAGCAGTATTTTAATGCTGGTATTTATTAGTAGTAAAACTATATGAGGATATCATACACTTAGTAAGAAGACTTGTGGATTTTAAAATTAAATGGCTCTGGGGCAGATAAGCCCTTCCTAGGGTTGAGGTAAAAGTTGATTGGTTGTAGCCACCCACACCGTAAGACTCCTTATTTCCCTGTATATTTCTTCCCAGCTTTATTTCTTTACTTCTCTGTTTAGCACTGGATCGTTCTCTCTTGCTTTTCTTCTCACTCATCCGTCCCTGCCTTGTCTCTTTAACTGTCCATCTTACAGAATTGAAATTACTTGTCACTTTCATAGAATATACATTTTAAAAGCACATAGATGGAAAGTGTTGTCTTTCAAGCTTTAGGGTGTTTTTCAGAGGGTGCATTTTTAAGTCTGCTTTTTTTAAAATATGTGATTGATTCTTTACTCATAGATAAGTGAATAATACTCATCAATAAAATAGTAGAAACATTTTTTTCTCTAAAGATATTCAGGGTGGACCTATGATAGGGATATTTTGATTCAAATCCAATTTATTTGCTTTTATTAATTGTGCCATCAAGTCATTGATGAGATTGTGTTTTGGCTACATATTTGAGGGGAGAAAATAAACATAAAAAGAAGGTTAAATTGCTTTCTGGCACTTTAAATTGTTCCCCTGAATATTTATTAAGATAAGTAAGGTAGATGGTGATCATAGGAATATGAAACAAGCTGGGCATGGTGGTATATGTCTGCAATCCCAGCTGCTTGGGAGGCTGAGGGAGGGGAATTGCTTGAACCTGGAAGGCGGAGTTTGCAGTGAGCTGAGATAGCACCACTGCACTGTAGTCTGGGCGACAGCAGGACTCCATCTCAAAAAAAAAAAAAAAAAAATATATATATATATATATATATATATGAAACAGAATAAGATACACCCTGAATTTTTCCTTGAGGTTGGCAATTTTAAATTTCAACTCAATCTAAGTAGTTTTATAGTTTTGGTTGTAAAGTTTTACATATTTAGAAGTGTTTGTAGTTATAACATTATAAAACTTTGTAAACTACAGTCTCATTTTATAGGTTCTGAGTGCAAAAGTAGTTACAAATGCTCGAAGTCCTGGGGCAAAATGCTATGGCATTGTAACTATGTCTTCAAGCACAGAGGTGTCCAGGTGTATTGCACATCTTCATCGCACTGAGCTGCATGGACAGCTGATTTCTGTTGAAAAAGTAAGCTTACCTATTTATCAAAGCAAGTTTAATTTGATGGCTAATTCTCAACTCAAGTTGTTAACACTAGCAGGGAATAGAATTAGGAATTATTTTTATTTATTTGTAGTTTTTTACTTTCCTTATAATTTTCTATGTTTTTCCAATTTTCTGCCATTAGCACACTTGTTATAATCATAAAAATGTAATCTTATGTGTAAATGGTTCTTCTGGTTCGAACCTTTCAGGTAAAAGGTGATCCCTCTAAGAAAGAAATGAAGAAAGAAAATGATGAAAAGAGTAGTTCCAGAAGTTCTGGAGATAAAAAAAATATGAGTGATAGAAGTAGCAAGTAAGGATTTATTATTTTTATTTATTTGATAAGCAGATAGACTTTTTTGTTACATTATGAAGTACTCATTGTGTTTTTTTTGTCTGGGGTGGTATGGTCAGGACACAGGCCTCTATCAAAAAAGAAGAGAAAAGATCATCTGAGAAATGTGAAAAAAAAGAAAGCAAGGATACTAAGAAAATAGATGGTAAAGATGAGAAGAATGATAATGGAGCAAGTGGCCAAACATCAGAATCGATTAAAAAAAGTGAAGAAAAGAAGCGAATAAGTATGCTATCCATCTTTTCAATTCCTTTCTAATGCATTCTGCTGCTTAATTTTTACAGCGGAAGGGAAAACCTGAAATTACAATCCAGATACGTAAGCTTTGTTGTTAGATGTCATTGTGGTAGGAAAGGAAGTCTAGTAGGAGGAATGGTCTTCTTTTCTGTTCTGGGGAAACAGAGTGTGTTCTTCCATCTAAGCTCTTTTAATATTCTCAGCTGACTTAAAATGGTCATTGATCAGTAGTATTGAGTTAGGATCTTTTGCTATCACTGAAAGAATTTCTGTTAGCAGACTGAACTGTTTAAAAACTCTTTGCATTTAAGTTCTTGTAGAATGAGTAGGTTTTTTATTTCTTGTATTGGTTTTTGACTATCAGAATTTAGCATTTTTACCTGTTTTATTTTTCAATGAAAATTTTTAGGCACTTATTTTGTATAATTTTTTCCCTTAGGTTCAAAGAGTCCAGGACATATGGTAATATTAGACCAAACTAAAGGAGATCATTGTAGACCGTCAAGAAGAGGAAGATATGAGAAAGTAAGTCTCTGATCAGGATGGTTGTATACTACTTAAGCTGTTTACCAAATAAAATGATTGGTTTTTTTTCCCATAACCGTCTTTGTGTACTTGCATGCTAGCAAACCTAAGAAAATGTTACTAGTCATTTGAACTTTTTAAGTGACCTGCTAAACTTGGGGAAAAAAAAATTTTAAAAAGCCTCTGCCGGGCTTGGTGGCTCACGCCTGTAATCCTAGCACTTTGGGAGGCCAAGGTGGGTGGATCACCGGAGGTCAGGAGTTCAAAACCAGCCTGGCCATCATGGTGAAACCCCATCTTTAAAAAAAAAAAAAAGAAAAGAAAAGAAAAGAAAAAGCCTCACATTATTTTAATTTCTAGTGTTTTTATACTTTTTTTCTATAGGTTCATGGAAGAAGTAAAGAAAAGGAGAGAGCTAGTCTAGATAAAAAAAGAGATAAAGACTACAGAAGGAAAGAGATCTTAACTTTTGAAAAGATGAAGGAACAAAGATTGAAAGAACATGTGTTTCGTTTTGAAAGGCTGCGACGAGCAATGGAACTTCGAAGGTAGGAAAATAATCTATTTTATATCTGTCTTTAAATATAGGTAAATATTTAACACTAGTTGTAAGCCAGATTTCTGGAAATTGTAATCCCACAGAAAACTGTTTGCCACCTTAAAGAATTATGGTAGCTACTAATGATTTATTAAGTTTGCATAGCACTTTACAATTTACAAGGTGCTTTTTCATCTGTTATCTCCAACTCAATGGTTCTGTAAGGCTAGTTATGCCCATTATACAGTTGAAAAAAACAGAGGCCCAGAGAGGCTAAATGACTCTTCCAGTGCCACATGGCTAACAAGTGGCAGAGTCGGGACTCAGACCCAAGTCTTCTGACTCCAAGTCCAATGCTCTTTCCTCAACACCAAAGCTGCTGCCATAAAAAACATGACTTTAAAGGAAAAATTTGAGATAAGATCGTTTCAGAGTAGCTATAGTTTTCAAATTCTGTAATTTGAAATTTTAACAACAAATTTAGCAAAAATTTATTGTTTGCATTAGTGCCTAAGAGAAGGAAGATTTGCTCTATGAGCCTAATGGTATTTAGATTGTATGCCAAAGCAAGCATTCTCTTTAAAACAAATGGAAAATATAAACAAAGCAAGATGTTTCCATTTTTAGTGACCATATCTCAACAGTTCATTATGAGGGCCAGTTTACTTTTGTATATCAGTTTTTGGATGACACTTAAAATAGTCTTGTGAGTGTGTTTTATAGTATATTTTTTCAAATGTTACCTATCTTGTCCAGTGGTTACTTGTCATGGAATTTGATCTACTCATTCACAAGAGTGTTAGGAACTACCAGAGATACTTTTAGCAACTTAGATAATACTGTACAATAATTGCCACATAACTTTACTAAAAGTAAGTAATCCTTGTAGCACACAGAACCCATTTTCTCTTTCTAAAGATGAGGTTCAAATGTGCCTAGTTTCCTGTTTTATTTAGTTGACAACAGATTGAGAGGAGAGTGGGATTGAGGAGCAACTAGAGCAGTGATCCTCAAACCCTATGAGACCAAAGTCCTTTTTATATGAAAAAATGTTGCAATGCCTTTACTGTTCTGAAATGAAATTGATACATAACATACTTAACCTATACTAATAATTTCCCAAAAATTTAATGTAATGACTTCACTATAATATAAAGGAGAAATATAAGTTATAATAAAAATATATATTCCAGATATGAATGTTTAGGCATGACCTAATGAAGTAATCAGATGTTTGCACCCCTATTTAGACTCACTGAGAATGTGACAGCTCCAAATACAGACTGACATATGTCAGTTGATACACTGTATTGGTTAGTAAATACCAGAAGTAATGTTGACCTTATGACATGATTTCTGAAATCATGAGCAACTCTTAGTAAAGGTCTCAAGAATGTATAATTTTCCTTCTATTAATGTAGAGTTGCATTATTGGAAATTCTAGAATATATAAAACCATGTCAAAACAAACAAACTTAGCATTTATTAAAAATGGAGTTGAGTTCTAGACTCAGATGTTATTTTTGCTTAAGGTGTTTGGTTGATTTTAATGGTATGAATGTCCATTGTGACATCTGAAAGGTGTGAGAAGTGTTGGATGGTTCTTGTTGTGTATGACTATCCTCACTACTCCGTGCATCAGTGAGATACTTAGATTCCTTTATCCTCATATACTAAACACTAGTGTCTGCCCCATGATACTGTGATAATTAAAAATACCCCATCGATTTCTGTAGAAATAATACTGACTCTTTGAGAACCACTGGGTTACTAGAGGAAGACATGCTGATAATAGACAGAAAAGGATGCTGACTACCTTACAGTAAGAAAATAACAATTAAAAGTCTAATACAATAACAGTTCAGTTCAGTGAACAACTGAACTACGTCTGATTCAGAAAAACATGTTACCTGGAGGCATCTATTATAGGATAGTAAACATTCCAAAATAGCCCTTAAGGATGCCATTTTGTTATATGTAGTATATGCTATTATTGATGTTCATTGTTATGATCCCAAATCATCAAAATAGAGTATATATTGGGTTTAAGGAGATACAATAGAATATATAATAGGCATTAGAGCTTTTTCCATCAAAAACAAGTGTCGGAAGTTGTAGTTTCGTAAATTTGTATATGCAGATTACATCCTTCTAAAATGTCAATTGATTAATGGACTATTATAGTGATTTTTATTTAAACAGGAATCATCTAAGAGGCAACTACTCTATATAAAATTTAGCTGCTCAGTTGACAGTCTTATTTACAAATAAGTGAAAATACTGGGATCTGTTTAAAGTTTTACTTTGAATCATGTTTCCAATTACATTAAAACTACTTAGATTGAGTTGAAATTTAAAATTGCCAACCTCAAGGAAAAATTCAAATTCAAAGCTATTCTCTTTCACACAGTGCTAGCATAATTTAAGTATTTCTAAATACTGATTTTTGGTAGACGAAGAGAGATTGCAGAGAGAGAGCGTCGAGAGCGAGAACGCATTAGAATAATTCGTGAACGGGAAGAACGGGAACGCTTACAGAGAGAGAGAGAGCGCCTAGAAATTGAAAGGCAAAAACTAGAGAGAGAGAGAATGGAACGCGAACGCTTGGAAAGGGAACGCATTCGTATTGAACAGGTGCAGTCAGAAAATCTTTTCATCTTAAATAACTCACCTTTTTGAAACTCTGTGATTTTTGCCCTAAAATTTGCTTTACTCATTGTAAAGCGTCTATAGAATGAGTTTAGCTAATGAGCTCTTAAGTGTCCCTGAAATATAACAGTGAATTAGGTACTCATTAAAAATACAATTAGTAGTGACTTTGTTCTAGATAATTGGTAATAATTCTAGCTCTGCAATATCATGGCAGCCTAATAGTCTGAGCATAGGACTATGAGTCCAGAGTAGTTGTAATCCAGGCTCTGTCACTATCCCAGTCTTAGAAAATAATAACAATTTCCTTACATATTATAGTGGGAATGATTTTCCAAGGCTGGAAGGAAATAATGCCTCTCTTTGCAGAATTGCACCTCAAGGTTTTAAGGCACTTAGTCTCCATACATATTAAGAACGCTGTTTCTAATTCCCTTTAGGTGCTTTTGTTTTAGTCAAATAATAAAACTAAACTTGACCTTCCCAAACACTTGCCAACTTTCACCACCCAGTCCTTGTTATTTTTAATGTTACAGAACAATAGCTATAGCCTAGATTATTGAAATGAAATATATGTATCCCAGGTTTTTTTTGCCTGGTCTTTGCTTATGGCGGTTTCTTTGTGACAAGGTTAAAACAAGGTTGCATGTATACTTACCTTACGTTTCCATTTTGCCTTGGTTGGTTCTTCGTTCTTTGTTGTCTGAAGGAACGTCGTAAGGAAGCTGAACGGATTGCTCGAGAAAGAGAGGAACTCAGACGGCAACAACAGCAGCTTCGTTATGAACAAGAAAAAAGGAATTCCTTGAAACGCCCACGTGATGTAGATCACAGGTAGTTACTCACTTTCTTCCTTAACAGTTACGCTTGCTATTTTATTCCCTTTAGGCTAAGACTAGAGAATTGGAAAGTGCAGGCTCCCATCACTGGAATAAAAGTCATGATCAACAGGGATGGGAAGGATTACAGTACTAGGGTAGACCCAGTGCATTGGTCAGTGGGAACAGTCTGCATTTCTTGCCCTGTCTGCCTTTCTGATGCCAAATGTATTTCATTATGAATTTTCATTGTTGAAATATTTTGGAAGTGACAGAACCTGGATTATAACCGCTCTGGACTCATAGTCCTATGCTCAGACTATTAGGCTGCTGTGATATTGCAGAGCTAGAGTTATTACCAGTTATCTAGGACAAAGTCACTGCTAATTGTATTTTTAACTAGTACCTAATTCACTGTTACCTTTCAGGATCACTTAAAATATAAACACATGGAAAATACATTGTCATGCTAGGCTTCAGTAATAATTAAACAGATTTTGAATGTTTGTAAAAAGGTAGTGCAGATAGTATAGAAATGGAAGTCATAAACTTGAGATTGATAGATTCCATTGTGTGTTTGCACTCATACTTCATATAGATTTAAAAATATAAATATGCCCATTTAATTTTCTTAACATAAATTCTGTGAAATTAAGTTGATTTTAGAAATAGAGAAATAGGCGGAATGAATGAATTGTGCTTCTGACTTTCACTCTAACATTTCTAAAGTTAAGGATAACTGAAGAGGTTGTGAACTGCTGGTTAGAATTTTATTATAAAGTGGTTTCAAGTATTTTGTTTGTCTTTTCGTTTAATAATTTTAAGACAGGCAGTTTTTCAGCTATTTTTCTCTCCTATTTAAATTGTTCTCACACTATTGACTTTACATCATTCAACAATTAAGTCTTTGCTAGTTTGTACTCCTAACTGAGTGTGTTATATCTTGAGTTTACTAGCCCTGTTGTGTCCACAGTTCTAACATGTGGTATGTATGACTCCAAGTAAATGTTGTTTGACTACTGTGGAAGTAATTTATGTAAACGAGCAAATATTTCTCTTCAAGGCGAGATGATCCTTACTGGAGCGACAATAAAAAGTTGTCTCTAGATACAGATGCACGATTTGGCCATGGATCTGACTACTCTCGCCAACAGAACAGATTTAATGACTTTGATCACCGAGAGAGGGGCAGGTTTCCTGAGAGTTCAGCAGTACAGTCTTCATCTTTTGAAAGGTAGATAGATATGTTGAAAATTATTATATTTGTTTTATGAGACTTGCTAGTGATAACTGTTTCTCCTAAAATCTTAATTAACTATCAGGTCAGAACTGAATGTTCAGAACAAATTACATGATTTTTGTTTCTGTTAAAGTGAATGTGAGTCAGTATTCCAAATTAATTAAATAGAACACCACTAAATAGCTTGATTTATCTCCTTATATTTATTTATTTATTTATTTTTTTGAGACAGAGTCTCACTCTGTCTCCCAGGCTAGAGTGCAGTGGTGCGATCTTGGCTCACTGCAACCTTTGCCTCCTGGGTTCAAGCGATTCTCATGCCTCAGTCTCCCAAGTAGCTGGGATTATAGACATGCACCATCACACCTGGCTAAGTTTTGTATTCTTAGTAGAGACAGGGTTTTGCCATGTTGGCCAGGCCGGTCTCACACTTCTGGGATCAAGTGATCCACCCACTTTGGCCTCCCAAAATGCTGAGATTATAAGCATGAACCACCACATCCAGCCTCTTCTTACCTTTAAAACTGTAGGAGCACTGATTGCTTTGGATGTGCCTCAACTGTTAATAGCAGTAAAGCATTATTTAGCTTGGTAGTGACTTTGAGTGTTTGGTATCATTTCTCCTGAATGCTAAAAAACCAACCTTTAGGCTAGACACTTAGTTCAGTTTAAAAGAAAATGAGTTGTAATAATAACTAGCTTTTTTCCATGGCTTTGCCTTAAGTTCATTTTTTGGTTTCATCATTATAGGTTATGCAGACAAAGTTAAGAAGAATTAAGCACTCAAGTAAGCACTTCTAGGACCTATATTCTTTGTTTCTAATCAATAGGCGGGATCGCTTTGTTGGTCAAAGTGAAGGGAAAAAAGCACGACCTACTGCACGAAGGGAAGATCCAAGCTTTGAAAGATATCCCAAAAATTTCAGTGACTCCAGAAGAAATGAGCCTCCACCACCAAGAAATGAACTTAGAGAATCAGACAGGCGAGAAGTACGAGGGGAGCGAGACGAAAGGAGAACAGTGATCATTCATGACAGGCCTGACATCACTCATCCTAGACATCCTCGAGAGGCAGGGCCTAATCCTTCCAGACCCACCAGCTGGAAAAGTGAAGGAAGCATGTCCACTGACAAACGGGAAACAAGGTAGCTGTATACTTTGTAATGCTCTCTTGATGGTCTAATCCATCAGGGTTAAAAAAGTTAAGATTAAAGTTTGGATCATGTATGTTTTTATGTTTGTTTAACAGAGTCGAAAGACCAGAAAGATCTGGGAGAGAAGTATCAGGGCACAGCGTGAGAGGTGCCCCCCCTGGGAATCGTAGCAGCACCTCGGGGTACGGGAGCAGAGATGGAGACAGAGGAGTCATCACAGATCGAGGAAGTGGAGCACAGGTAAATGCTGTGGGAGGTTTGCAGCCAGCCTGCACAAATACATTTAGAGGATTTATGAGCTACTCTGGATATACAGTAGCATTTTGATGTGGCCTAGATTAGTTAGATAGGAATGGTTGAGAGGCATTAATTGGTAAACTGAATCTATATTTTCCTCATACTTTACTGTCAGTAGTTGATCATCAGTAGTCTGGAGAGTTAAAGTACTAGCCTTGAAATACTCCTTTTTTTTTTTTAAACTTCCCAGAGAAATTTAAGAATTGTTCATTTGGTAAAGGAGCCTTTTTTTTTTTCTTTTTTTCTTTTTTATTTTGATACAAGGTCTTGCTCTGTTGCCTAGGCTGGAGTATAGTGGTGCGATCTTGGCTCACTGCAACCTCCACTTCCCGGATTCAAGTGATTCTCCTGCCTCAGCCTCCCGAGTATCTGGGACTACAGGCACGTGCCACCACACCCAGCTGATTTTTTTGTATTTTTCATACAGACAGGTTTTCACCGTGTTAGCCAGGATGGTCTCGATCTCATGATCTTATGATCTGCCTCGCTCAGCCTCCCAAGTGCTGGGATTACAGATGTGAGCCGACCCGCCCTGCCTAAGCCTTTCTTTGATTTTATTTCTTTTTGAGAAATTAAGGCTTTCAAACTGGATCCAGAATCTTTGGCCCCTACTTATGTTTCCTTCTCACTTTTTCTTTTTTAAAAAAATATTCTTGGTTGGGTGCAATGACCTAAATAGCTTTAAACAGAGTGTTCACTACTCTGTTTTCCATAGTTATGAATGTATCACCTTCTAAGTGCCATAATACTAACTAGTACGATGTAAAACAAGTTGATAACTCCTGTTTCTGTGTGCTGTCTGCATGTTGTCCTGATGGGCTGATTATCGGCCCCACCCTGACTTGTCTTAAGGTTTTGATCTCTGTCTGTGCCTTCTTAAAATAAATGTAAAATCCAAGCATTTGAAATAATGAAGGGTCAAAAAGCACTTGGATGCCAGGAAATAGAGATATATAAATTAATGGCCAGGCCTGGTGGCTCATGCCTGTAATCCCAGCACTTTGAAGGCCAAGGCAGGTGGATTACTTGACGCCAGGGGTTCAAGACCACCTTGGGCAATATAGTGAGACCTCATCTCTATAAGAAAATTAAAAAGTTAGCTGGGCATGGTGGTGCACACCCTGTAGTCCCAGCTAGGCAGGAGGCTGAAGCAGGAGGATTGCTTTAGCCCAGCAGTTAAGAGTTGGAGTAGTTATAGTCGCAATGCAGTAAGTACTCCAACCTGGGCAACAGTGTGATCGTGTCTCCAAAAAACATTAAAAATTTAAAAAAAGGAATTGGCCAGGCGTAGTGGCTCACACCTGTAATCCCAGCACTTTGGGAGGCCAAGACGGGTGGATCACGAAGTGTAGAGATCGAGACCATCCTGGCCAACATGGGGAAACCCCATTTCTACTAAGAATACAAAAATGAGCTGGGCGTGGTGGCATGCATCTGTACTACCAGCTACTCAGGAGGCTGAGGCAGGAGAATCGCTTGAACCTGGGAGGTAGATGTTACAGTGAGTCGAGACTGCGCCACTGCACTCCAGCCTGGTAGCAGAGCGAGACTCCATCTCAAAAAAGAAGGATAAAATTTGAATCATTTCCTCCGTATCCTTCCCTGAAGCCTAAGTAGCTTCTTGCTACAAAATAGATATAAACTCTTTTCATATGCTGTTGAATTACTCATCCTTTTATCTTATCTTGTCAGATGTCTTACTGATTTGCTTCTGACATTAAAAGGACACCAATATAAGTAAGTTGGTATGAAACTGAGGGTGTTGTTACTTTTTTTTTTTTTGAGACAGATTTTCACTCTTGCTGCCCAGGCTGGAGTGCAATGGAACCATCTTGGCTCACTGCAGCTTCCCCCTCCCAGGTTCAAGCGATTATCCTGCCTCAGCCATCCGAGTAGCTGGGATTACAGGCACATGGCACCACATCCAGCTAATTTTTTGTATTTTTGATAGAAACAGGGTTTCACCATGTTGGCCAGGCTGGTCTCAAACTCCTGACCTCAGGTGATCTGCCCACCTTGGCCTCCCAAAGTGCTGAGATTACAGGCAAGAGCCACTGTGCCCAGCCAAGTGACTTTTCATATACTATTCTTTTAGCACTATCCTGAGGAGCGACATGTGGTTGAACGCCATGGACGGGACACAAGTGGACCAAGGAAAGAGTGGCATGGTCCACCCTCTCAAGGGCCTAGCTATCATGATACAAGGCGAATGGGTGACGGCCGGGCAGGAGCAGGCATGATAACCCAACATTCAAGGTAAATAACTAACCAATTTAGACTTTTTCTGCCAGCACACAACCAACACTTTATCCTTTCCATAAAAGTCGTTATAGTTTCTTCTGACATTAATGAGAGACTGAATTGCAACTAGTGAAAACCCTAGGTCTGCCCGAACATTTCCCTTTATCCACTCAAAGTTTCCAAAAGAGTGTTTGCAGAACAGCTGATATTAATGTGTTAGTTTGTATTCTTTCTTGTAAATGAATTCAGTGACATTCTGGCAAGTTGATCTAGATATGGGTATGTATGTATGTATGGCAGGATCTAGTAGATAATGAATCCTTTTTTTTTTTTTTTTTTTTTTTTGAGATGGAGTCTTTGTTGCCCAGGCTGGAGTGCAGTGGCACTATCTTGGCTGACTGCAACCTCTGCCTTCCGGGTTCAACCAATTCTCTCATCTCAGCCTTCTGAGTAGCTGGGATTACAAGGTGTGGGCCACCATGCGCGGCTAATTTGTGTATTTTTAGTAGAGACGGGGTTTCACCATGTTGGCTCAGGATAGTCTTGAACTCCTGTCTTCAGGTGATCCGCCTGCCTCAGCCTCCCAAAGTGCCGGGATTACAGGTGTGAGCCACTCCACCCAGCCTAGGTAATGAATCTTAACCTCACATTGGAACCATCATCTTTTCCCTACCTAGCATTCCTCAAATTCTTAGGAAGAAAAAACTGAAAGTATGTTCTGTTTCCTCCCTTTTAAAACTCTTGGCAAAGCTTTTAGACTTTTAACACAAAATCTGTTCATATGTTGAGAAGCGAGCTTTACTTTGTCTTCACACCAAGGTCGGATGTGGCCTTTCACCCAACACGTTTTCAGCTTCCCCGTCTCTTTCATGTCCTCCTTTCTTTCCCATTCCTCTTTCTTAGGAGATTCTGTTAACCAGGTCACTATCATTCCATGGTCACACTTCTAACATTAAACTTCAGTAAGCCTGCACAAGCTCAACATTCATTGTATTGGTTTGTAAAGGTCACAGATGACTTTTCTCTTGATAAATATAGATTCTTTTATTTTCATAGTTGTCAGGCTCCTTGGTGCTTAAACACTGTTTCACACGGTCGCTTTTCTTTATTTTGAGGGAGTCTGTTTTCTAAGGCACCATTATTTTCTTTCTGCCCTTGTGACTGCCTTTGCATGCTCCTTCGTATGGCTAAGCTTTAGACACTGCTGTTTCTCTTCAGTTTCATGTTACTATTGCCATGTAAGTGCTTTTCTGTTTCCATGAATTTGAGGTCACAGTCAAACTCATTTCTTTCCTATTTCAAACTTTTGTGTCCCTTTTGTTGCCTCCAGCTTCTTTTAATTTGATAGTGCCACCACCCCTTTCACTCATCCTGACTGGAAAAACAGGGGCCTCGTCTTTACTTTTCTTCATTTCTAGCATACATTTCTAAGTGTGGTTCTTTTTTTTTTGAGACGGAGTCTTGCTCTGTTGCCCAGGCTGAAGTGTAGTGGCTGATCTCAGCTTTCAAGAGATTCTCCTGCCTCATCCTCCCAAGTAGCTGGGATTACGTGCGTACACCACCACTCCTGGCTAATTTTTGTAGTTGGCCATGCTGGTTTTGAACTCCTGACCTCATGATCTGTCTGTCTCGGCCTTCCAAAGTGCTGGGATTACAGGCATGAGCCACCATGCCTGGCTGTTTCATTGTATTTATTTATTTATTTTTAATGTTTCTCAGGCAGTGGCTCACACCGGTAATCTCAGCACTTTGGGAAGCCAAGGTAGGTGGATCACTTGAACTGAGGAGTTAAAGACCAGCCTGGGCAACATGACAAAACCCCGTCTCTACAAAAAATGTTTCTCATACTTATTCCTTCTTCCTCATTTCAGCTTCTGTATGATCTTCCCAAATGATTCTTTTCATGCTCCATTACCCTATTTCTAAATTGTTAAAACCCCCATTTTGTTATACCATTTACTGCTCTAAAACCATAAAAAAGCAGCTGCTGCAGGTCACAGGATCAAGCCGAAATTCCTTAGCTTGGTATTTAAGCTTTTTTATAATTTAGTTTTACTCTGCCTGAACCTTTTCACTGTAGTTCCCCCCACCCCCCTACCCCCAACAACAAAGGCTCTGTTGCCCAAGCTGGAGTGCAGTGGTGCAATCTCAGCTCACTGCAACTTCTGCCTCGTGGGTTCAAGTGATTCTCCTTCCTTGGCCTCCCAGGTAGCTACGACTACAGGCATGTGTCACCACATTCAGCTAATTTTTTGTATTTTTAGTAGACACAGGTTTTACCTTGTTAGACAGGCTGGTCTTGAACTCCTGTCCTCAGGTGATCCTCCGGCCTCGGACTCCCAAAGTACTGGGATTATAGGCATTTGCCACTGGCTTTCACTGTAGATTTTTATTGTGTGGTTTGTTAATGGTTTTTTCTGAGACAGGAGTCTCACTTTGTCGCCTAAGCTGGAGTACAGTAGCATGATCTCAGCTCACTGTAACCTGTGCCTCACAACTTCAAGCAATTCTCCTTGGTCCTCCTGCCTCAGCCTCCCAAAGGGTTGGGATTACAGGCCTGAGCCACCACACCTGGCCTATTGATGGTTTTTTTGGGGTGGGGAGAGGGTCTGCCTTTTCTGTCTTACTACCATCTGCTCTGTTGTTACAGATAAATATTCCAGAAATATTTCTTACATTACTTCCTATGATTTAGTTCACAAGCTTTAGCAAACAACAGAATCATTTGGAGGGCTTGTTAAAACACAGGTTGCCTGGTCATGGTGGCTCATGCCTATAATTCCAGGACTTTGGGAGGCCATGGCCAGCAGATCTTTTGAGCCCAGGAGTTCGAGACCAGCCTGGCCAACATGATGCAACCCTGTATCTACTGAAAATAAAAAAATTAGCTGAGCATGGTGGTGCTTGCCTGTAGTCCCAGCTACTCTGGAGGCTGAGGTGGGAGAATCACCTGAGCCCAGGAAGTCAAGGGTTGCTGCAGTGAGCCATGATTGTGCCACTGCACTCCAGCCTGGGTGAAGGGAGTGAGTCCCTGTCTAAATATATATATATGTATTTTTTAAAACCCCCAAAAAAACACAGGTTGCTGGGGGTCCCTCCCCAAGAGTTCCTTCTCAGTTGTCTGAGATGGGGGTAAGAATTTGCATTTCTAACAGGCCTGTTGTAACTGTTGCTACTGCTGCTGGTTTGGCATCCACACTTAAGAGATCTACTGCTATAATCCGTCCATGTGCATATCAGCAAATGGCTTATGAAGTAGTGGCGCTTCAAAGTGAGATTGCCCAGGTTCAAATCTCTGCTCCACCATTTTATTTGCTTTGTGACCTTCGGAGTTACTCAACCTCCAGATCTGTTTCTTCATCAGTAAAGTGGGGTTAGTAATGATTCAGATCTCAAAGGACTGTTGAAAAGAGTAAATGATTTATTTTGGATAAAGTAGCAAGAACAGTGCCTGGCAAATGGTAAGTGCCGTGTAAGTATCTGCAGTGATGATTTGTTCTTTGTTCTCTTACATTTTTTTTTCATTTAAACCTTTTTCAGTAATGCATCCCCAATTAATAGAATTGTACAAATCAGTGGCAATTCCATGCCAAGAGGAAGTGGTTCCGGATTTAAGCCATTTAAGGGCGGACCTCCACGACGATTCTGAAAATGAGCTCTCTGCCCTGGTTTTAAGATAATTTATTGAAAACTCTTGTAAACTTTACTTGACTACTTATGAAGAGGACCTTTGACTTGCTTGAGAGTTCCGTCAGACTTTTTCTTTTTAAAAATTTAACATGATTGCTTTTCTCAATTTTGGAGAAGTTTAAATAGTTCTGTTGTAACTTTTAATAGTTTTGTGTATCATTCGACTTTTTTTCTTGCAGCACCAAGACACATTTGAAAAGATGAAATTGAATTCATTTTGTTTAACGCTGTGTGAATATAAAGAGTAGTTTGCAGCTGTGTGGTAGTGGTTTAATTTGCAGCCTTAGCTCTGTGGTGTCTGGCTCTAGAGTTACTTCTTTTCACCAAGCATTTTCAGCCTCCCTTTTGAAGGCTGTCTAAGCTTAAGAAGTCTTAGCTGTCTAATTTTTAGAGAATAAGATTGTTCTTGCATTTCTGAGTATTATGTAACCTATTTTTGCAGAAGGTACTGTTACATTAAGTGCATCTGTGTATCCTGGTTTAAAAAAATGTAAACTTTTTTGAAATAAACCTTCATATTCTGTATAGTTGCTAAAGTGTTGAGAACCTTTTTAATTGTAAAATGAGAACCGATTTTCGGTTTAGTGTAGCAGCACACTTGTTCAGGTTTGCATGGTATGAAACCAAATAGATTAATGAAACCTTGGCCATGAGGTTTGTTTCACAAGGTTCTTAGACTGAGTTGTGCAGGTAAGTGCACTTTTAGGTAATCTGCACTGTTTAATGGATAAATTCCATCTCTGGGAATTGTGTGGGTATTAATGTTTCCATGTTCCCAACTATGTTGAGAAGTGGAACGAAAACCCAGGTTCTAGATGGGTGAATCAGTTGGGTTTTGTAAATACTTGTATGTGGGAAGACATTGTTGTCTTTTTGTGAAAATAAAAATCCACACCTGGAAATGTGTGTGTCTTTGTGTCCAGCGTTCTAGGTGTTAGTCATCAAGTTCTTTCTGCAGTTCAGCCCAAGGTAACTGACGAGGTATAGTGCTATAAAGGCAGTCTTTTGGTCTTTGTTCCTTAGAAATAAATCTAGCTTAGACTCTTCATCTCATTAGCGGGCAGCATATGCTGTTCATATGTTAGAGACTTAACCACTGATCCTATGGCTTTTTTTAAAAAAAGGCATCTCTTTTAGGAAGGCCCTTCAAGGTAAATGCTTTTCTTTCAAAAAAGCTTCCCACATCCCTTTATCTAAATCAGTGACGAATAATCCAGATGGTCTAAATTCTTGGTAAATTCAGCAGTCTGTATGCTTGGTATGGTCATGCCCGTGAGATGGCTCAGACTTCAGAGTGCCGTGGGCAACCAAGGTACTGTGGTCTCTGGCCCTTTGGACAACTGGCACTTTGGGACTTCTCTGGATTTCTTAGCCTTTTCTGCCATTCCCAGTCATACAGCTGTGGGAAAAGGTTGAGTGTGTGCATCGGTGTTTGGGAGGTCTGCTTCATTTCTTGATCACAACATTATGTAGAGTGGCACAGAAGCCTCAGTATCCACTGGAGTGAATGTTGGTGACTTTGGGTTAGAATGTCACTTCTCATTGTTTCCTCGTTTGTAGAGAGGGACTATGCTTCTTAGAAGGGATTATCATACAGCTGCTAACATTGGCTAAGCGCTTTATGTGCTGGGCAATGTGCTAAATGTTTGACGTGTGTTCGCTTTCCTAATACTCAAAAGAATCCTCCTAGCCATAGGTAGAATTGCTGACCTGACCAGTTTTCAGATGGGAATCTGGATAGTAACCTGCATTTTAAACATTAGATCCTTGATTTGTTTCAGTCTTTTCTACACTTACACTGAAGGTACGAGCCTACAGACACTATAGGTAATTATTTTTTTACTCAGGTTGCCATGGAGATGGCTTTTTTAAGTTCAGAAAACCTGACAAAACCACCTGATATGCTGGCATTGAGGTTGAGTGACTGTCAATGATCCAGCACAGCAGCTAGCAGCGATCTGGCTGGCTCACGGTCAAGAGTGAAAATCTAATTTAGAGGGGGTTTGTTTTGTTTTTAAGACAGTCTCGCTCTGTCGCCCGGGCTGGAGTGCAATGGCGAGATCTCTCACTGCAGTGATCTTGGCTCATTGCTGCAGCCTCCACCTCTCGGGTTCAAGCGATTCTCTGGCTTTAGCCTCCCAAGTAGCTGGGATTACAGGCGCCAGCCACCAGGCTAAGTTTATTTTTCTATTTTTAGTATTTGTAATTTTGTATTATCACTGTGTTGGCCAGGCTGGTCTATAACTCCTGACCTCATGATCCACCCGCCTTGGCCTCCCAAAGTGCTAGGATTACAAGAGTGAGCCACTGCACCCAGTCTATTTAAAGGTTTTTATTAAGGAAGATAGACTCCTCAAAGCCAAGAGAATGGGGGAAAATGTGCCATTCCCCATGTGCTGGATACACAATCCATATATTTCGCCACAATGCAATGACATCAGTGAGTTAGAAGCTACAGACAGCATATATGATGCAGAAAAGATTGAAGAAAGACAGCAGCCAGTCTTTGTAAGTTGGGCAAGATGCTGATGTCAGAAACTACACATGCCAAAAATAATTGTAAAATAAAATTAAAAGCTTAAGAATTACGTAGAAAAAAATCTCGAGTTCTTAAATATATGCAGTAATTAAAACATTTAAAACCTTTCTGCCTGGATTGTCACTTAACTTAGTTCCTCCATACTTGACACATCTTAACAAACACTGAATCCTTATTGAAAAAACTGTCAGTTTTTTTTGCATTTATAAAGAACCTTATCCAGTCCATCTCTCTGCCTTAAAGATGAATCTCTTCTAGTACCTCCAATAATTGCTTAATTAGCATTTCTATCAAACACCTCAAATTTACCACGTGCAGTTACATACAAACTGATCCTCTCAAGTAATTTAATCACCATCTTCAACTCAGTAAGGGTGCCGAAGGTAAAATTAATAATATCCCTTAAAACACACCACTCGCCAGACACGGTGGATCACAAGGTCAGGAGTTCGAGGCCAGCCTGGCCAACAGGGTGAAACCCTGTCTCTACTAAAAATAGAAAACTTAGCTGGGCATGGTGCGGGCGCCTGTAATCCCAGCTACTTGGGAGGCCGAGGCAGGAGAATCGCTTGAACCCCGGAGGTGGAGGTTGCAGTGAGCCAAAACCACGCCATTGCACTCCAGCCTGGGTAAGAGAGCAAGACTCTGTCTCTTATTAAAAAACACACACACACATTCAACAAATACTGTTTATTTTTATCTGAAACCAAGTGTTTCCTGAAATCTTTTAAGTGCTTCCTACAGATAAGCTTCTTTCTTTCTCTTTCCTTTTGACTTAGCCATTCTAGCCAGGCCTTAGGAGCAGGTATCATGTAGTTAATGTTCACCTATATATTCTGTACCAAAATCACCAGTATTTATGTCTTCATGGCTACTGTCTTATGTTTTCTCTCTGAGAGGACCAACTTCCCCTCTAAGCCCTCTAGTGTCTTTCCATCTATGGAATGTATTCAGTGTTTCACCTCATTTCCCACTACTCTCCTCCTTGTTCACTTGGTTTCCACACTGGCTACTGTCTCATGTGTTGACAATAGTGTCCCATCTCAAGCCTTTTGCTTTTGCTCACTCCTTCATCTGCAGTTCTTTTCCTCAGATAGCCATGTGCCTTGCTTCCTCATTGCTTCAGTTCTTAGCTAAATTGTCATTTTCTCAACCATGCCTCCTCTGATTTTATTTAAAATTGCCACACTTAGGCCAGGTGTAGTGGCTTGCGCCTGTAATCCCAGAACTTTGGGAGATAGAGGTGGGTGGATCACCTGAAGTCAGGAGTTCGAGACTAGCCTGGCAGGTAATTTGGTAATTACCTGATGAAACCTTGTCTCTACTAAAATTACAAAAAAATTAGCTAGGCATGGTGGCAAACACCTCTGTAATCCCAACTGCTTGGGAGGCTGAGGCAGGATAATTGCTTGAACCCTGGAGGTGGGGGTTGCAGTGAGCTGAGATCGCATCACTGCACTCCAGCCCGGGTGACAAGAGGTTTCATCTCAAAATAAAATTGCCGCACTCCCTTTCTCGGCATTCCCCCTCCTTCCCATCTAATCTATAATCCATCTTTCCTACTTGAAGTAAGCTCCAGAAGGACAGCTGTTTTTGTCTGTTTTTTATTTTCATTGCTGTATCCCTGGCCCCTGGGATACAGCACTCAGTAAATGCTGGATGAATGAATAACCATGTAAAGGATTCAGAATTTTTACAACAGGGACATAGGGAGAGCAATCTGGTTAGGATGGGGGAGCCTGGGCTTTGTCTTGAAATTGCATTTGTGTAACACACTTTTTAAAGATCGAATACTTAAGCCACCCTTTGGTGCAGCCACCAGTAAGAAAGGGGATTGTTTAGGGACAGGCTGCCCAGACTAAGAGCTCTTAGCCTGGAATTCATGCTGTCTGAAGGTGAGATGCCTGCCCCAGGCATAAACATTACCCATGAAATCATCTTGGCTCCGTGCTCACCATGTATAGTTTCCCACCTGGATTTGCCAACAGGGTTAGGAAATGAGTATGAAATCTACTCAGCGGTTACATTTTCATCAGTTTATGAGACTGAGCCCATCAAAAGCTCAAACAGTAACCTTTAATTTGGACAGAGACAGTTGCCTTTTTTTTTTTTTTTTTTTTTTTTGAGATTGTATCTCACTGTCACTCAGGCTGGAGTACAATGGCACAATCTCAGTTGACTGCAACCTCCATCTCCCATATTCAAGCGATTCTCATGCCTCAGCCTACCAAGTAGCTGGGATTACAGGCGCCTGCCACCATGCCTGGCTAATTTTTGTATTTTTTTTTTTTTGAGACGGAGTTTCGCTCGTTACCCAGGCTGGAGTGCAATGGCGCGATCTCGGCTCACCGCAAACTCCGCCTCCTGGGTTCAGGCAATTCTCCTGCCTCAGCCTCCTAAGTAGCTGGGATTACAGGCATGCGCCACCACGCCCAGCTAGTTTTTTGTATTTTTAGTAGAGATGGGGTTTCACCATGTTGACCAGGATGGTCTCGATCTCTCGACCTCGTGATCCACCCGCCTCGGCCTCCCAAAGTGCTGGGATTACAGGCTTGAGCCACCGCGCCCGGCTTAATTTTTGTATTTTTAATAGAGATGGCATTTCACCATGTTGGCCAGACTGGTCTCAAACTGCTGACCTCAAGCAATCTGCCCTTCTTGGGCTCCCAAAGGGCTAGATTACAGGCATCAGCCACCATGCTGGGCCCCTTCTCTCTTTTTTTTTTTTTTGAGACTGTGTCTCTCTTTTGTCCCCCAGGCTGGAGTGCAGTGGCGTGATCTCAGCTCACTGCAACCTCTGCCTCTCAGGTTCATGCGATTCTACTGCGTCAGGCTCCTGAGTAGCTGGGATTACAGACACCTGCCACCATGCCCAGCCAATTTTTAAATTTTTAGTAGAGACATGGTTTCACCATGTTAGCCAGGCTGCACTCAAACACCTGACCTCAGGTGATGGCTGGCCTTGGCCTCCCAAAGTTGTGGGATTACAGGTGTGAGGCACTGACCTGGCCTGGCTCTTCCCTTAATAAGTCTAGTGATGTCCATCAAACTATAAATTCATTTCCTCATCACACCTCAGGCATTTGGGACGTGGACTGCGTGGGTCAGATACCATGGCAAGAAATGGTGCATCCTTCAAGGACATGGTAATATAAGACTAAAAATTCTAAGGAATGCTGATCCAAGAAACTAACACCCTAATTTTGTAAAATTACCAAATTACCAGTTAACTTCTCTAATGACTTTATTTCCCATGGATCTGCTATCCCAGACCTCTGAAGAGGTAGCCTGCTAGGATTTACTTCACCTGGTCGACAGCTCGCTCCCTCTGAACTACTCTAAGAACTGTCAAATATATTAGGT